TTCCCGTTTTTATTTTTTTTTTTTTTTTTTTGAAACTTTGAAATGTGGGTTCAGACGAGAATAAAGAGGAGAAAAAAAAGGGGTGGAAAAAGGTAGCTAAGTTTCGTTATGTTTAACAAATTTAAAAAATCTCAATTACCTAAAACTGCTTGAATAAAACCCAAGGTGCACACTTTGCCCACCACATTTCTATTATTTAAGCTTGTCAGTGTCGGAGGACACCATTTTGGTTCAAATGTGTTTCATTCTATTCCGGATGATAAGTTTGGAAATAATTAACAGTGTATGAATGAAAGCTCAGCAAAGTAGTTTTTTTATCTGAAGAAAGACAAGGATAAAAGATGGATGGAAACACTGAATATGGACGCAGTATTCGTGATGATTCCTCAAGCGTGCATCCTAAACTGCGCGGTAAACGCAAAGCGACAGATGATCCCACCGGTGCGTGTTTCTATCATAGTCTTTTTACTCACGTGTCCGAATATAATTCACTTTGCAAATCCAGGGGATTGTGTATCTACCTAATTTGCTTTAGACTATCTGTTGCTCTACTTTGAATGTTTGAGCGGTCTTGGTATTAGCAGTTAAGCATCGCGTCTTCATTCTTCCTACAACTGTATTGTCGTCATAGATTTGGATTTCGTATAAATTTCCTTTGAAGTTAAATTTGACGAGAAAGGATATTGAATTCCTTATCTCAATTATTTTTTTTAATGGTCATGAAATACTTTTAAGACTAGTGTCTCAGGTTTCCGTAAAAGCAATTTTGTCAGAACAATTCAAGTTTCTTAGGAGCGAGAGGGTCTTTGGATTCGCCTCCTGCTTCATCGTCGCTGCTAGCCCAGCTGCATGCATCTTCCTCGTCTTCGTCATCATCGCAACCACAGCAGCAGCAGCAAACATATGGATCAGGTCCAACGGCAGCAGCGCCTCCGGGAATGACACTACAGGTGGTAAATACAAGACAGTTGCCGTCAACACCATTGAATATTCTCACCATGTTGGCCTCATGTATCAATGAAATAAACGTCTGTCATCACTGATCAGCATTAATTTCAGTTCGACACTCTTGCACTGATGGAACAGTTGAAAAAACGCAATTTAGGACTTGAAATACCAACTAATTTCACCGGTACTTTTTCTGAATTGATCATTTCCTTAAAGAAATGACAGGGTTTTATCGAGTTCTATGAGTTTTGAAATTCTTAATGTCCTCAAAATTATGTACATATCTTCCCCACACCCAAATATATATCTCTATCTCCACTCAGTTTAAACGATCATGGCATTCCTCGCCCTCACACCCTTTCGTTCAACTTCATCGGCTTTAAGGTAACAAATGGCTTTGAAACTGTTTTGGGATGATAAACATAAAGCAAGTTTAATAATACATTTCATAAATGATTTTGTAACCCTGAGCAGCTGCAGTAATAAGCTATAGCCTTTTGAAATTATCGATTTTGCATCAAGATTGAGGGTATTATTATTGCGATCAACTGTTTGTTTCCCGCTTATTTCCGATATTCACTGAATATTTTCTTATTTCAGAATTTGATTTCTTATTTCCTTAACTTTGAGGTTTTATGAATAAAATGATTTGCTCTGATAAATGAATACAGGAATCCAAAGTGTACTATCGATTACTCCAACAAGTACTCCGCCTGACTTTTTTCAGTGGAATCAATGAATGAAACAACAGTCAATTTGGAAGTGTGGAAAACAAGTCGTATATTGGCTCGTCCACCTGATATTGAAGGATATCTGCCAGCATGCATTAAAGGTGTCAGAGCAAACAAGGATGTTACCGTACAGGTTTGTCAAATATATGAACTCTTTTGAAACTGCTGCATCAAAGTCAAAGTCCGATATTCAAGAGAAGGAAGTCGACTTGTATTGACAAAAAAAAAAGTATTGACAAAACTGACAAGCTTCAGTCACGGGTCAGCTTGTTTTGGAAAGTTTCTAATTAAGTTTATAGTTTGACAATGGTATTGAACACGTATTCGAAGATGTGATAACATCATTGCGTGAATATCCTGACATACTCGCCGATCAAGCACCAAACCCTGATTCGGTAACTTCTCTAAAATCTCATTTAGGGTGAAGCGTCTTCTAGAGCGTTCATTTTTTTACGTGAAGAATTATTCTGTGAATATTTTAGCAAATACCCATCAGAATGCTTTTAATTACAGAGAGTGGATTACGTAAGATTAGGTTTTCCTAGATCTTTTCTTTCCCAAAAGAAACATAATTTTGAAAAAGCATTCTTCATTTCCGCAAGTAACGAGAGTAAGCATACGTCTAATATCGCAGCATTTTTATCTACGGAGATTCACATCGCTTTATTCAACCAAATTTCTACTTGAATTTGAAACACCCTTTAATTATTTTTATTGCGCTTATAGTAAAAATGTTTTTATTTTTATTGCGCTTACATGCAGAAATCTGAACTATTTCATGTTTTATTATCGGACGTTTTTCGTTGATCCACTGTTTACTTTGAGGTGTTGTAGGTCATTTCATTAGTTATTGCGTTGTCGAAGTTAGAATTCATTAGAAAAGCTAGCATTAAAAAATGAAAGTCACATTAGTGATGCAATTCAGTAAATGCTTCTTCCAGACTTATTGAATAGAATCGCCATGCAAAAGGCTGCTTTATTATTTCAGATTAATGTTGCGGACGTGGTTTGCGTGAAGTGGAAAAACGATGAGAACATATATCGTCTAGCTGAAGTGCTGAAAAAGACGACTTGGCCCATAATGTTCCAGGTCTTTTTTTTGAAATTTAACTGCATTTTTTATATCTACTGATGAATATAGTTAAAATGAAATCACAGTTCTGCAACGATTGAAATGTTTCAGCTGAAATTAAAATATTGCAGATGCGTCTACTTGTCGGTATTTCAACCGATTTTTGGTTTCACCGTGCAAGCATACGGTTGTTACGTCCACCGTGGTACGATGAGTTGAACGCCATGGGCAGTTACAGTAATTCGGTCGTCAAAAGCCGGTTCGTTCAAAACTGACTAAAAATAGACCAAAGGAAGGTAGAAAAAGAAAAAAATGTAAAAAAAAAGGCAAAAAGTGAAGTAGTAGGATGCTGGTTTTGCTTTAATTACAGAATGAAATGGATATGCCATGTTGAGGAGGTTGTATTTAAAGGTAAATAAAGCTTTTTGAATTAAGTAAGTTACAGTGATGAAAACGGTGGAACTTATTCGAACAGCTGTTCTGGAGTATTGGCAAGCGCAATAACACATTTTGCACCCCTAACCTTACCAAGTGTTGTTCAAACGACCTCATGCAGCCATCTGAGGCATTTTTTTTTCCCATTTCCAATAAAGAAGGATACTTTCGCACATTTTGATGTAGAAACAAATTGCACTTACCTTTAGGTAAGCGGAAATCTATATTAACACCGACATTTGCTATTTTCGGTTTTAAACATTTGTTCTAGTACAACGGAAAGTGAGCCTCAAACGCTGCAAAAAAAACCAGCTATAGTGATGCTGCAGATTCAGACGATGAACCGATGAAAGATGATCAGGTTAGCGCGTGCATTATAGCATCACTTATTCCATCTGTAAAGCTCAAATTTAAGAAATTTGTTAAAATTAAGATGACGTACTTGTCAACACGAAACCGTACTGCTTATCAACAAAAAACCCTACTGACTATCAACGTCTTTAAATTGTTGAAAAATTGGCAGAACATGGATTTGCTAGTTTACTTATTTTCAATAAAACTATTCTTAAAGAAATTATTATTAAGATTGACGGTACATCTGATGCGAACAATTTTTCGGGTAAATCAACGCCAAGGTCTGCTGTAGGAGCAACTGCTACGGAGCGAATGTCCGCGCAATTTTTTGGCCTAATACCAAACCAAACGGTTTCTGGTAACGCGACAACTTTTGATGAAGTCCAGCAAGTGCAAAAATGTGCAGCAAGTCAAGCTGTCTCAGCAGCTTGCGCCGCTGTCGTGCAGGTGAAACTTCGTGTCAGTTGTATGGAGCACACTATCCTGTAGGATCTGTTTGTCAAATCTTCATCCATATCAATACAGACAGATTTGAGGATGACTATCACAATGACCTCATTTGCAATGATTATATTCACGACTCCGTTGGCTATTAGCTGTTGTAGCAAGCATTAACAGCGTTGCACACTAACAGTATCACATGGGATTTCGACATGTTTTTGATATTATTGAGACCATCATGTCGTGCTATTACCCGTTACTCTTGGTCCATTTGCTTCTATCTCTTTACCATTACGTCTGATATCTCGGAAGTCAACTGAGTGACATGTTTTCTCCTCGTGAATACATTGAATGATTTCCATCGGTCTTCTTTTCGCGCCAGACTTTTCCCGAAGTCTCATTTCCATCTTCACCACCACTGAGGTAATGAACAATTAGATATGACCCTTCCGCGTTTTACCTTCTAGAATTTCGGGAGCGCTATAAGATTTGCACTTGAAGGTAAGCATACAAAAGCTTAGAGGCCAAGAATCATTCTGATTTTGAAATCTTTCTCAACTTTCCAACTAATAAAGGATCTTTATCAGCTAATAAATTCAAGGGTTAAGTGATGCTTCTTCATCGAGTAACTCTTGTTAAGCTCTAGGTTATTTAATATAAATCCGTATTTTTATAGGAGCTTGAAATTTTGATTCAAAAATGTTGGACAGCTTCTCGTTACCGATAAGAAAGATGTTAGAAGTTGATATTTCCTTACTCTCGTCTTAACAAGCGATTAAAAAGAAAGATATAATCTGTAATGTTAATATTAAAACCCAGATTTTTGCCGACCTCTTCGCCATCTTCGCTCTTGCCATTCATCATATGCATACCGAGGTGATTGGTGATAAATCTCGTCAGTAGTTTATAAATATGTCGGAAAATGAGATTATACATTTGTTATATATTATACATAAAATGAGATACATTATGCATATGAGATTATACATTAGATTATACACATTACATTAGTATTATACACACACACACACACACACACACACACACACACACACACACACACACACACACACACACACACACACACACACACACA